TTCTGGAGTATTGTGTCCGGTTCTGGTCGCCCAGTTATAGGAAGGCTATTATTAAGCTTGAGAGGGTTCAGAAGAGATTTACTAGGATGTTGCTGGGTATGGAAGGTTTGAGTTATAAAGAAAGGCTGGATCGGCTGAGACTCTTTTCACTGTAGAGTAGGAGGTTGATAGTCAACCTTATAGAAGTTTATAAAATAATGAGGGGTATAGATAGAGTTTATGGTAGTTGTCTTTTCCCTTGGATGGGGGATTTCAAGACTGGGGGCACATTTTTAAAATGAGAAGAGAGAGATTTAAAAAAGACATGGGGGCAAATTTTTTACACAGATGGTTGTTTGCGTGTGGGATGAACTTCCTGAGGAAGTGGTGGATGTGGGTGCAATCACAATGTTTAAAAGACATTTGTAGAAGTACATAAATAGGAAAGGTTTGGACGGATATGGGTCAAGAGCAGGCAGGTGGGACTAGTTTAGTTTGGGATTATGTTCGGCATGGGCTGGTTGGACCGAAGGGTCTGTTTCCATGCGGTATGACTCTATGACTCTATTCTGTAATATTATGAAACATAATAAATATGCTGTCAGCATAACAGTTTTGAATTGCATTTTCTTTGCTTTGCTGTTATAGTTATTTTATCTCAGGTGAAGGACAATGGAGACATAAAGTGCAGCCATAATGTTGAAATTAAGGAAGCACACCAGCAACCATATTTTTATTTTGAATTTGTTTTTGATTCAGACAGCTTTGCAAATGGATGAACCATGCTATATTTTATGAAAAATACATGCTGAGCATTCACAAAATTTTGTTTGTATGTCCAACCTTCTGGGCCACATTGCTAAATTCAAACATTCTCTGGGGTTGTTACCAAAAGAGATTATGCACTGTGCTGCTGGACCATATCGGGCACTTACAGAGGTCACCAGGAGAAAGGATATACTTGCTCATAGACACGTTGCTCAGTTTTCCTCCAACTGGTCTATGATTGATAGGAAGACTCAAGGCAGAGCAGCTTCAGTTGCTGCAGGGAGAGAGTGCAAGGAAAGCTGAGGTCCTGTCTTTCCTCCCAATTCATGCAGGCCATTCTTCCTCCCCTGGGTATTCTCCACCAGGACCTCCACTGTTAACACTGTGAACTTGCATACTATCTTTTTTGGTGCCTCAATTAACCTGCAAAGTGCTGATATGTGTAAGACAGTGGAATTGGAGCCCATATACGCAATTCTATGAAGACTTGTCCAATCAGCACTTGAGTGGTAAACCTGCAGGTATCCTGATTAGCACTTTCAGGGAAGCTACCATTTTGCAATTGGCAATTTGGGACCAAATTGTGTGCAAAATTCAGACCTTCAAATTTATACGTCTTATTAGTACAGTATCCATCCAGGTTTTTTTGCATTTTGCTAAAATAAATCAGTCTTCTGCTACTGGGATAGGAAATGTGCAATTCTGTTTGAGTTCCATTATTTGTAACTCAATGAAAACGTTCCCTGCAAAATATGACTCACTGATAATATTCCACACCTGAAAATTATCACTCAAAATAAAACATGTTGTTATGTACAAGGATGTCCTGTATCTATTCAGTAAGTTTAACCAAGATGTTGAGATAACAATCAAAATCGGTTCACAATAAACAACTGCACCTCCCAGTCGCGAACCATTTCAACTCCCCCTCCCATTCCTCAGACGACATGTCCATCCTGGGCCTCCTGCAGTGCCACAACGATGCCACCCGAAGGTTGCAGGAACAGCAACTCATATTCCGCTTGGGAACCCTGCAGCCCAATGGTATCAATGTGGATTTCACAAGTTTCAAAATCTCCCCTCCCCCCACCGCATCCCAAAACCAGTCCAACTCGTCCCTGCCTCCCTAACCTGTTCTTCCTCCCACCTATCCCCTCCTCCCACCTCAAGCCGCACCTCCATCTCCTACCGACCAACCTCATCCCGCCCCCTTGACCTGTCCGTCCTCCCTGGACTGACCTATCCCCTTCCTAAGTCCCCACCTACACTCACCTTTACTGGCTCCATCCCCGCCTCTTCGACCTGTTTGTTTCCTCTCCACCTATCCTCTCCTCTATCCCTCTTCTATCTGCCTCCCACTCTCTCCCTATTTATTTCAGAACCCCCTTCCCCTCCCCCTTTTCTGATGAAGGGTCTAGGCCCGAAACGTCAGCCTCTCTGCTCCTATGATGCTGCTTGGCCTGCTGTGTTCATCCAGCCCTGCACCTTGTTGTCTCTAACAATCAAAACTGCCTGGTGTTATGTGGCCCAATAATGCTGGAATTGAAGGTCTAACAGTGAACATGAAACCATCATTGATTGTTGTAAAAACCTATCTCTTTCATTAATGTCCTCCAGGGAAGGATATTTGACATTGTCCCCTGGTGTAGCTTTCATGTGATGCCTAGCAAGACACTCAGTTTTTATCGAACTGCTACAAAGTTTCAGAAAAGGAAAGAAACTGGTTAAATTACCCAGCACTGATCAAGGCCATGTAGACAATAATGGAAAACTCTGGCCCTGTCCACCCTGCAGAGTTCCTCCTTACTAACATCAGGGGGCTAGTGACAAAATTGGAAGGGCTGTCTCACACACTACTCAAGCAATGGCCTGACATAGTCATACTCATGAATCATAGTTTACAGACAATGTTCCAGATACCATCATCACCATCCCTGGATATGACTTGCCCCAACACCAGGACAGACCCAGCAGAGGTGGTGGATACACTCAGAAGAACGTCACTCTGGAAGTCCTCAACATTGATTTTAGCCCTCATGAAGTCTCGTGGTTTCAGATCAAAAATGGGAAGAAAACCTTCTGCTGATTGGACAAGTCTTCATAGAATTGCATATATGGGCTCCAATTCCACTGTCTTACACATATCAGCACTTTGCAGGTTAATTGAGGCACCAAAAAAGTTAGTATGCAAGTTCACAGTATTAACTGTGGAGGTCCTGGTGGAGAATACCCAGGGGAGGAAGAATGGCCTGCATGAATTGGGAGGAAAGACAGGACCTCAGCTTTCCTTGCACTCTCTCCCTGCAGCAACTGAAGCTGCTCTGCCTTGAGTCTTCCTATCAATCATAGACCAGTTGGAGGAAAACTGAGCAACGTGTCTATGAGCAAGTATATCCTTTCTCCTGGTGACCTTGGCTGATGAACCAGTACTCCTTCACATTGAACAGCAACTGGAAAATGTACTGAGGGTGGAAAATTTACACAAAGTATTCTGGGTGGAGAATTTCAAGGTGCATCTCCAAGAGGGGTTTGGTAGCACACTGCTAGTGGAGTCGTAAAAGACACGGGTGCTAGACAGAGTCCCATCTTTACACCAAGCATAATCTCTGTTATGTTGTATGGTTCCATCACTATGCCTAATGGAGTCCATTTTGAACAGATCGAGCAACTCATAACTGTGCACCCATGAAGAGCTGTGAACCATCGGCACCAGCAGAATTTCATTCAAACTCAATCTGTTACCTCATGGGCTTGCGTTTCCGTCATTCAACCATTATTACCAGCATCGAGGACTAACTCTGGTTCAATGAAGCATGCGAGAGGGATGCTAGGAGCAGCACCAGGTATACTTAAAAATGAGATAATATCCTGGTGAAGCTACAACAAAGGACTACTTGCATGCCAAATAACATTAACAGCAATTGATACGCAGGGCCAAATGATTGCACAATCAATGGATCAGACCCAACCTTTGCAGTCCAGTCAGATCCAAGTGTGAATGGTAGTGGATAATTAAAGAGCTAACAGAAGGAGGAGACTCCACAAATAACCCCATCTTCAACAATGGTTCAGCCCAACACATCAGAGTGAAAGGCATTTGCAGCCACCTTCAAACAGATACACCAAGTGAATGATCTCTCTTGGCTTTCTCTAGAGGTCTCCAGCATCACAGATGTCAGTCTTGAAACAAGTCAATTTATAACATTGGCTTCTACCTGCCAATGTGGAAAATTATCCAGGTATTTCCACGAAAAGCCGGACAAATCCAATTTGGAAAATTACAGCCTTATCATTACAGTCTTAATTACCAAACAATTGATGAAACTTGTCATTGTCAGTGCTATCAAACAGCACTTGCTTAGCAATAACCTGTTACTAATCCTCAGTTTGGGTTCTTCCAGAGCCAATCATCTCCTGATCTCATTACACCCTTTGTCTGAACATGGATAAAGGGGCTGAACTCCCGAGCTGAGTTGAGACTGACTGTCCTTGACATTAAGGCAGCATTCGCTTGAGTGTTGCTTCAATGATCCTGACCAAAACTGGATTCAGAAAGAAAAATTTCCACTGGTTAGAATCATATCTAGCACAAAGGACAATCATTGTAGCAATTGGAGAATAATTTTCCCAGCCCCACGACACTCCCACAAGTGTTCCTCAGGGTAGATATTTTGAGCTGTTCAAACACATATCTGGAGGCAGGTGGGACTTGAACCCAAACCTTCTAGGTAGGGACGCTATCACTGCATGAGAAGAGCCCTGAGTTTCTGAGGGTACTGTCCCAGATTTAACCATCTTAAACTGCTTTATTACTGACCTTCTGTCCATCATAAGATCAGAGTGGGATGTTCACTGACAATTCCACAACTTTCAGCACCATTCACCACTTGAGATATCGAAAACATTCATGTCTATGTGCAGCAAAACCTGGACAACAGTTTGCCTTGTAATAAATGACAATAACACTGATGCCAAACAAGTGCCAGGCGATGGCTATTTCCACTAAGAGAGAATCTAATGATCTCACATTCACATTAAATGGCATCACCATCAGTGAACCTCGCACTGTTAAAATTCTGGTGGTTGCTATTGATGACAAACTGAACTGAAACAGCCATATTTATATAGGAGTAGGTCAGAGCCATATTCTGTCTGGTTATGAATCTTGGTTTTCCCAAATTTAGGACCCTCCTATTTTTCAGTGCCATTCAAAGTTGGAAGAGTGTTGCCCGAGTGCAGGTCTACTGGCATGCATGGGCCTCAGTATTGTGGCCATTCACAAGATCAACAAGATATCCATTGCAGCAGGAAAGAGCAAGATTACTTGCATTGAGTTAGTGTGGAAATTACAACAATAACACACAGACAGATTCAATATCACAGGAAATATTTAAAGGTGACATGGTATTGCATCTCAGAAAAGGTACAATTCAGTTAATTGACTGCCTCAAAACAGTGGTGTTCATATACAGCAGATGCTTCAGAGTGAGATGGAACATAATGACCTTATCCAAAATGTGCTTCAGAACAGACCAGTGCAGTTCTATAACATGCTTGCTAAAGATAGATGACACAATCAGGATATGTTTTCACCTTAATCTTTCTCTAAAGGAAGACCACAGACAATTCCAGCATTATTCAAACTGAATCCCAAATTCACAGGAGTTAAATTTTTCTCCAAGCGAGATGCCATACACAGACATTAGTCCATTCATTTGCAATTGAACCTCAAGAAATTGCTACTTTCAGAACACCATTTGGAAGATGACTTCCTGAGACTCCTTCTTAGTTTATCCATCAGTCAGGATCCAGCAGCATAAGGACACAATTATAGAAAGTGAAATTGCGCTGATGGACAAAATCAGAGAAGAACACCATTGAAATCTACACTCACTGATGCCAGTAGCTCACTGTGAAGGTTTTGCCTTCAACAGCAAGAAGTGCTAGGTGAAAATAGGCCAGATTAAGATTGTTAGCCTGATCTGTTCAGTTGTGGGTTTCACCCAGATGCAGGAAAAGTTGAAGATGTATGACATATACTTGCTCTCAGAGACAAAGAAGACTTGCAGAAAGTCTCAGATATTTTTAAGCAGACAGCAATGCAGGAGGGGTCATTGATTTTTTTTTAAGGCACACCTAGATAGGTTCCTCACTAGCAATGCAGGCAAAGGTGATTGCAGGTAGGCAGGGAGATAGCGTTGAGGCCACAATCAGGTTAGCCATGATCTTAGTGAGTGGTGAAGCAGGCTCTAGGGGTCACATTGCCTTCTTTTCTCCCAAAATTGTACGTTGACATTTCTGTGTGACATTAGCTAATCTGAAATTTAGAATGAAATGCAAGGTAGTCTGCAAGTGAAAGACAATGACTAAAATATGAAACCAAATATTAACTGCAGGCTGTGTTAATAAGCATGACCATTCAATACTGCAGTAGTAACCACATTAAATAGATGTTTACGCTGATAAACGTTAATGGTCTTTGCAGCACAATCTGGAGGCGTAAATGTACAATTAATTATAGAGCAACTCATGTGGTAGAGCATTGGGAATAAAGCCAATGATTCTGGAAATGTGTATTTGCATCTTGAACACAATGGAGTCAGTTTCAATCAGAATGCGAAGCTATTGAAAACATACCTACTTGAATGCATAATAGCAACCATTTGAAAATTTCAGTGCAAGTGCAGTATTGGAAAAACAATGGAATTTCATACATTATTGTCTTCATCACACAATGATAATTCAGTGCCTCAATTGGCTTTGCTTACAGTGAGCACATATATGACGTGTGTTTTGCTGTGTTTGTGTTGATCTGAAACCATTGAATTCATTACAATGATGAAAGTACAATCCAGGGAGACGCCCAACATATAAATACCAAGCTGTGTGAAACAGTGAATCATTCAGTGAGCAATCTAACTCTAAACTCAAAATGGGAAAGGCAGGGATAAATGATACTTTGTACATGTATTCATCATTAAAGATTGTCTGGCTTTTGAAATTATTAGTTGACAAACGCATCTTTTAACAAATCAAACAGATAATCTTTTACGAGGACAGGAACTTCCAGGGTCGGCACTATGAGTGCAGCAGTGACTGTGCTGACCTGTCCCCTTACTTCAGCCGCTGTAACTCCACCCGTGTTGAGAGTGACTGGTGGGTGCTGTATGAGAAACCCAATTACATGGGATACCAGTATGTTCTGACCAGGGGAGATTATCCTGACTACCAGCACTGGATGGGATTTAAAAACAACATCTGGTCATATCGCACTTACCCATACATAAGCTATTGCAATGATTGTATCAGGTCACGTTGCTGTTACCCATATGTAAGTGATTTCTGATAGTTTGTGTGTTCTCGCCAAACTGACGTTGAAAAATGACCTGTGTACTCAACATTCGTGTTTGTGTACATCAAGTCTGTTGAATTATTGTTTGTTTCCACAGGGCTGATTTTAACTTTTACCAGTATACTTTGGCAAGTGGTGAAGTGTCTGTCTGATAAACATCCAAGTCATCATCATAGAATCCCTACAGTGTGGAAACAGGCCATTCAGCACAACAAATCCACACCGACTCTCCAAAGAGAATCCCACCCAAACTCACCCACCCCCGCAATCCTACCCTGTAACCCTGCATTTCCCATGTCTAATCCACCTAACTGACACATCCTGAGACATTACAGACAATTTAGCATGGCTAAACCACCCAGCCTGAACATCTTTGGTTTATTGGGTGGAAACCGGAGTACCCAGTCACCATATAGACAGAGGGAGAATGTGCAAACACCACACAGATAGTTGTACCAAGGTGGAATCGAACCCGGGTCCTTGGTGCTGTGAAACAGCAGTGCTAACCACTGAGCCACTGTGCCAGCCCAACTCATTTACTGATCCACTAACACATGTATCTGTCACTGTCCAAAGTTATTGTCAGTCCTTTTAATTTTGTCCTTCCAGATAAGTAAAATGGGTTATTCCTTAAGTCAATCGCTGTACGAACACAGTGTGGTTTCTAGGTGACATCTGACATAATTCTGTTGAAACGCTGATGAACATCTGGGATGTAAAGAGAAATGGTTATTGTCATTAATTAGGCAGCCAGTAAAAGTCAAATTGCTGCAATTACAGTGTAGAAAGTAATCATGTTTTTACAGATGGACTAGTTTCTTACAGTATGTTGAGAGATGTATTTGCACACAGCCCATTCATTTACTGCAAATATTTGAGAAGTTACAGGAAATATAAAGCTGTCCTCACTTGGAGAATCAGATTCCTCACAATAGGAACCAGAAGTACATTTAGACTTTTACTGATATTAATAAACTTCAGTCTAATATCAGTCTCATGCACGCTCACAGACACTTCATTCATTATATGTACAGAATTAAATAGGAACTATTTATTGGTAAAGAAAGCTCAAACATAATTGAACTATTGAATCAATTTAAAAAATTATATCAACTTTGCTCTCATTGATGGCATCATTGACTGGGCCTCATTGTATTCCTTCTTACATGACGTTTCTCTTTTTCTAAAAGTACCATACATGGATCTGTAGTTTCCTCACTGATATCGTCTTATTTCTATTGCAGTACCAAGGATTTATGAGAGGCCTGACTTTGGAGGACAGATGATGGAATTCATGGATGACTGTCCATCTGTCTACGATTATTTCCATTACCGTGACATCCACTCCTGCCATGTGATCGATGGTTACTGGATCTTCTATGAACATCCCAACTACAGAAGGCGACAGTACTTCATGAGACCCGGTGAATACAGGAGATACACTGACTGGGGAGGCTACAGCTCAACTGTTGGATCTTTCAAGCGAATGAGGGATTTTTAACTTGTTCAAACTAGATTTTGTTAAGTTAACATATTCCTAACATAATGAATGTACAATTAGCATAACTAATATTCTTTATTGGATTCTATTTCTTTAGACCAGCCATCTTTTATTACCTTAGCAGCACAATAATTATGTCGAGAAAAATTTTCAAATAAAATTGAAAATGAAATAATGCATACCAACAAGTTATTGTCCCCATTGTGTTTTATGAAAATTATCAAGCTCAAAATTTCAAACACTTTGCATCGCTTTCAGAATTTCTAGGGCACTAGGAATTTTATTCTCGAAAATCTATGAAGGCTGCACCTAAAAAGATTAAGTGTTGTGGTATTCCACTTTATTTGACACCTTGTAGGAGTCAGGAGCAGAAAGGGAGCACTTACTTGTGGACGTTTTACTCACCGAACTCCAGGACTGTACATGAAATACAAAAGTTCACACAAGGCAGAATGGCACCAGTTGCAGAAGAGAATTTGAGGAGGCTAAGGCAGCATCTTTCCTATGCACAGAACATTCTTCCTCTTCTGGTCCTCTCACCCCAGTAGCTCCAGTGGAATCTTTTTGATTCCAGGCATTTCAAAGTGACCCACTTGATTGGCAGACGGAGTGGACAGCCAGAGGTTTTTTCCTAGGGTGGAGGTAGCTATTATGAGGGGGCATAGTTTTATTGTGAGTGAAGGTAGATATAGGGGAGACATCAGAGGTAGGTTCTTTACTCAAAGAATGGTAGGGGCATGGAATGCATTGCTGGAGAGGGTAGTGGAGTCGGCCTCATTAGGGGCATTAAAGCGACTATTAGATAGGCATATGGATGATAATATAGGTCGGGGTGAGGTTAGATAGACCTTAGGTTTAGGGTAAAAGTTTGGCACAACAGCATGGGCCGAAGGGCCTGTACCGCGCTGTACTGTTCGATGTTCTATGTTCTATACACTTTGGCATGCAGGGTCATAAATCACACTACACCAGTTTATAGTCCAACAGGGTTATTTGAAAACACTAGCTTTCTGAGCGTTATTCCTTCATCAGATGTAGTGAGAGAGGTATCAAGACGTAGAATTTATAAGTATAAGATCAAAGGTTCATACAACTGATGCAAAATGCATCGAATAAACCTAAAACGGCTGGCTGACTCCCTCCTGTTAAATTTTTAACCAGTTAGAAAGGAGATCAGGTTTCAATTGATTAAAATGCAAATCCCAGAATTTCTTTCAAGTCACTGCCCTGAGATAACTAAAGGTTTTACAAGTGTATACAAGAGGTAACATCTCAGGTCAGACAATGCATTTTAGGTGTATGAGGCCTTGTTTAGAATCTGTCTGTGTTTTAACCCGAAGCCAGACCGGTTTTATTTCCAAAGTAGAATTTATAAAATGCCCCATTGACTGACTGTGTCTACAAATTGTGTGTTTTTTGAACAAAATAGAATGCAAAATAGAATTTGCAAATGCAAATTCACTCCTAAGATTTATATGTACATGTATGTGCGTCTGTGTGTGTGTGTGTGTGCATGTGTGTGTGTGTATGCGTCTGTGTGTGTGTGAGTGTGTGTGTGTGTGTATGTGTGAGTGTGTGTGTGTGCGCATCTGTGTGTGTGTGTGTGTGTGTGTGTGTGTGTGTGAGTGTGTGTGTGCGCATCTGTGTGTGTGCGTCTGTGTGTGTGTGTGTGTGTGTGTGAGTGTGCGGATAGAGAAGCTGAATATTATTTAAATGGAGAAAGACTGCAGAAATCTACAGCACAGAGGAATTTGTGAGTCGTATTCAATTTCAGCAGGTAATAGAAAAGGCAGATGGAATATTGGCCTTATTTCAAAGGCAAATGGAGAATAAAAATAGAGAAACTTTGTGAAAACTAAAGAAATCACTAAGTAGAGTCCCAGAGTCGTAGAGATGTAAACACAGAAACTGACCCTTCGATCCAACTCGTCCATGCCGAATAGATATCCAAGATAAATCTAGTCCCATTTGCCAGCATTTGGCCCATATCCCTCTAAACCCTTCCTATACATATGCCTTTTAAATGTTGTAACTGTACCAGCCTCCACTACGTCCTCTGGCAGCTCATTCCATACACGCACTTCCTTCAGCATGAAAAAGTTTCCCCTTAGGTTCCTTTTAAATTTTTTCCCTCTCATCTTAAACCTATGCCCTCTAGTTTTTGACTCCCCCACCCTGGGTGAAAGACCTTGTCTATTTACTCTATCCATGACTCTCACGATTTTATAAACCTCTATAAGGTCACCCGTCAGCCTTCAACGTTCCTGGGAAGATAGCCCCAGCCCAGCTGGTAAACTGTGAAAATGTTTGGTCTCCCATCTCAGGAAAGATACACAGGCATTGGAGGCAGTCCAGAGAAGGTTCACTAGGCTGATCACAGATATCGAGGTACTGTTTTATGAGATTGCTGAGTAGCAACAGTGTGTAAAATCTATACAATGCACTGCAGAAATTCACCAAAACTCGTGAGACAGCACTTTCCAAACCACAAACACTACCATCTAGAAGGACAACGGCAATGGATATAAGGGAATACTACCATCTGCAAGTTTCTCTCCAAGCCACTCACCATCCTGACTTGGAAATACACTGTCATTCCTTCAGTGTGACTGGTTCAAAATCTTGGAACCCTCCCCTCCAATAGCTTTGTGACAGCACATGGACTGCAGCAAATCAAGAAGGTAACTCACCACTACCTTCTCAAGGTCAACTAGTTACAGGCATCAACACTTGTCGAGTCAGTGACTCCCACATCATAAACGAACTTGAAAAAAACCCGAAGCCAAACCAGAAAGCAAGAACTGCAGTAAGCCTGGAAAGCCATTGCCTTGTTTTGATAAGAGTTACATCATAAATTAAGGAAATTTCCTTGAGTTCCCTCTCCAGACTGTGTCCTGTTGTCTAAAAGGTTAAAGTCTCACATTAACAAATAAATATTGGGCCTAGAATTTATATTGTAACCTATAACTTACAAAGTATAATTTGCCAATTTAAATTGAAAATGTAAGATGAGAGTGTTAGGTATTAACATGCCACCCCCACTGCTGAGTGTAAACATCCAATTCTGTCCCCGTCAGATCATTAAGAGTTGATACATGAGTGTAGGTGAGTTTCTCAACCATCTAAAGTTGCCAGAAGCCGCTGGTAAATCAAGAACACTGGTTGAGGCCTGATCTTTGGAGGACCAGTAATGAGAAGCTGAATTCTTTCTTTTCTCTGGTTATGGGGTGGAGTTCATGGGGAGAGAGGTTCAGGGGTTGAAGGCAAGGGCATATTGCCACCTTGCCAGAGCCAACTCACTCAATCATGTCTCTTTCTTGTCATCTTTCTCACTACATCCAAGGAATGGAAAAGTCTGCCTTAAAACTGAGAGTGAGTAAATGAATACACTACTGCATTCAATGGAATAAAGTTACTAACAGTCAAAGCATCAAAGAGAGTACAGAAAATTTTGAATAGATCTTAAAAGCTTTTCATTAATCAGATGTCCTAGAAACTTCTGATAAATGCTTCAATTTAAGAACAAATAAATGAACATGGTTCAAGAAGAATCCATATTTAATTTCATCAATAACCTCGATAGATTAATGGAAAGTTGTGAATATGGAGATTTGAAATCAGAACTCATAAGTGAAAGACTTGTTAGAATTCTTCATAAAATTTTGTCAGATCACTGACAATCATGAGTGGTGCTGAACGTTGTGCAACCATCGGCGAACATCCCCACCCACTCACAGGGTCACTGATCTGATAGGACAATAAAACTTAATCCTGAATCAAGCACAAAGTCATATAGATGTCCACTATCATAGACAAGTTCCATCTCTCTCTCTCTCTCTCATCTGATTAGCTTGTTCCCCTTAGACTGCCTTGGCTATCTTCTCTATTGGAAGATTCTCATCAAACACAGGTATCTTTTCTAATGGTGGTGGGTATTCTAATTTGTAGACCACTTTACACATGGAACAATCAATACTTCCACTTTTCTGAAACTGTGGCTTATTCTGCACTTTTTATGGAAGTACCCAAAACACTTCTGTGTACCAAATTTATTATGTTTCACTTTACAGTAGCTTCTAAGCTCAACCTGTATACGGTCTATTAGTATTTGTGAATATTTTACAGTCAGGCTGTAAATGTATAATGAACGTTCTTGGAATTACTAAAAAGGCCATTTGTGATTGAATCTCATTGAAATAATGTTCTTGGCAGTGTGATTTTTGATACTCCACCATCCAATTCAGCATATTTAGACAGTTCCACATTCAATGTACTCAAATACCATGCAGCAATATCACAGTTATTTAGTAGCTATAACTAGTTCTGACAGATATAAAGACTGAACCCCAAGTGTTGACCATTTAGATGGAATTCACCAAATTACTGTCTGATTAAAAAATAACTCTCTATGGGTGCTGCATAAATATAAGATCCCAGCACTAAAAAATTGTGAAGGCTGCTACAGAATTTCATTCAGATCTTTAGGAGTAAAACTTGATACTTGTGTCATGCTTAATTGTCAAGCTTAAATTGAGAAACATTTTCTCAAGCTTCTTAAAATATTAATTAAATGAGCAACAGTTAGGAGCTGTTGTATCCTGGTGTTTCTGTTTCCGCTGATGCTACCACACTCTGAGCATTTCCAGCATCTTGATTTTATTTTCAGATATCTGGCATTTGAAATTTTTCTTAAGTTTCTTTAGTTCATAAGATTTTGTTATGGAAATATGTACTATATTGTCAAAATATAGAGTTAAGTTCACATGTTTGAAAATGCTAAGAACCAAAATTTGACATCAAAGCACTTAGGAAATATCACAACAGATGACCAAAGTCTTGGTCTAAGAATTACTTTTACAGACCCTTTTGAAGGAGCAGAGAGATGTGGAAAGGAGGAGCAATTTAGGGAGGACTTCCTGAGTTCCTGACCTAAGCAGCTAAAGACCAGCTCGTAATGGGTGGAGCAAGTAAAATTGAGCATGTTCAAGACTCCAAAATTT